CTGGCGGTCCCCCCCCCCCCTCTCCCCACACACACACACACACACACACCCCTTCTTGCAGTGCCTCTATTCTCAGCCTGCCTTTTCGGGAGACTTTTATTTTTAGGCTCGCGATCGGTGTAAAATTAGCCACATGTCCACCCTTCCCCATCCTCCAGTGGGGGGGGGGGGGGAAAAAAAAACCTCCCCCTTTAAAGAAGGGGGGAGCCCAGAGCATCCACTTGGGTCCATTGGGTCACGAGGAGCGCAGGCTGGATTTCATGAATGGAAGGGGGTGGGGGGGGAGTGCGGGGTTCAGCGCCAAAGTGCTGACCCCTCCCCCCATGGCAACGCCCCCCCCCCCCCCCGGGGGGGCTGTGAAGGAATCATTGACAATCCCCTTCCAGAGGCAGCAGAGAAGACGTCCCCGAAGAGGCACCAGTTGTCCCAAGAAAAGCAAAACTTTGGCCCTTTCCTTTCCCTGAGCTGGGATCTAGCCTACATGATGCCTCCCCAGTACAACTGGGAGCTTGGTGGTTTGTGCTGCAGGGGAAGGGGCGGGGGAGCCCACTGGAATCTGCTGGCCAAATGGTGTGTGAGAGTGTTTCTAACCGGCTGGAATAAACCGATTTCTTTGCAGGCTGCTTGTGCCGCGTTACCCGTGGAGGGGCTGCGAGTTCCCGCCGCAGGTTGTTCATGTCTGAGGATTGGGCAAAGTAGGAGCAGAGCAGTTCTGCCTGGGATCTTTCTCAGACGTGCAGCATTTAAAGAATAAGCATCATAATAATATAATACACCATTGCAGGCTGCAGAGCAGTGGGGCCGGCCGCGTTGATGCTAATTCTTCACCCAGATAGCTGGACTTTGTAAGCCCCCAAGCACAACTGCTTGAAATGGACATTCAAGAAAAGAAAAGGGGAAAAAAGCCTGTGGTCCTTTTCCGATGGGTTATTAATACATTCTGGACAGTCAACACATGGTTTATAAACTCCCAATATTAGTATAGACACATTTCTTCCCTTTATTGTATTTAACTACAGTAGTGCCCAGTAACATTTACTAACACGTGGTTGGTTTGTTTTTTCCACCAGAGGACACAGATAGAGATTTTGTTGTTATTGTTGATTCTGTTTCGAAAGAAATCTAGTCACATGTGAGTAACATTGTAGCTGTTTTAACTCCTCCAGTAAAACTCAACTGGAAACTGCTTAGTTAAGGATTTTCTGTATTATTTTAATCGGTCAGAAACGTTGATATACAAGCTAACTTTACATTTCCTTTCCTCTTGGTAACCCTTCTGCAGGGTAGTACATTTCTTCTAAGTACTTATTTGGAGGCTTGATTTTTGTGTTTGGCTTCTGGCTTGATTTTTTCTGGACACTAAAATGATACATGCACTACTAACATACACTCCAGGGTGATTTGGTTATCCCTCAAATGTGGTTCCATATTTACATTAATTAATTTCTAAAATGTTTCTAAATAGTTGGGGGGGGTTGTATTAAAGATTGCTTTCACGGTTTGTTAGTAAATAAAGTTTAAACCACTCAAGTTGTGTTCATTTCCTGTGATTTACACTTACAGCTAACAAAGTGTGTGTGTTGGATGCCACTGATAGTTAAGAACTTAAAGAGAATTGAGAAGTATCTTTTTTTTTAAAGATTCTAAGATGATAAATTATTTGTGCTTTTCGCTGCATACTAACCAGTTTCTATTTTCTTGTGGTCCCTGTTTAAAAAAAAACATGCAGATACTGTTCACCACAAGAAGTTTTGTTACCATCCTCCTAGCTGCCCTTACTACCTCTTGTTAAAGTCCCAAACTAAATTCACCAGAGCAGTCTTTGCAGGGAACTGCTGTGGCCATATTCATGTTACTGAGGCATTCAGTTTGTAATTCGAGCCTGAAATTTACAGGTGAAAAGAACAGAGCTCTGAAATTTCTAAAGAAACTTACTATTGCAGAGAAAATGCCTTTCAAATCTTCTCTGCAACTAAATTGAAAACTGCAATGCTCACCTATTTACACACATGGAAATATGCCGTGGACAAATGTGCCCATGTCTA